TCTTTGTAGAGCAGAGTGAGAATAACTTGTGAGAAGGCAAGGATAGAAGCAAGGAGACAAGCAGGGTGGTTGCTACTGTGGTAAAAAGGAGAGATTATGGGAGTCTGGACTAGAGTGATAGAGGTGAAGAGAAAAGAATTAAACATTTTTAAAATTTTATTTTATTGTTTAAAGTATTACAAATAGTAGTACATATGTCTCCTTTTTTTCTCCATTGACCTCCTCCTGGCCTCCGCTACCCCCTCCCTCCCCAGCACATGCCCTCACACCCTCACACCCCAGTGTCTTACGTCCATTGGTTATGCTAATATGCATGTATACAAGCCCTTCAGTTGATCTTTTTCCTCCCACCCCCAGCCTTTCCGCTGTTCCATGCTTCTTTGCTTCTGTATCTATTTTTGTTAATCAGTTTATAATGTTTTTTTCTATATTCCACAAATGAGTGAGATCATGTGGTATTTATTTTTCACTGACTGGCTTATTTCACTTAGCATAATACTTTCCAATTCCATCCATACTCTTGCAAATGATAAAAAATCCTTATTTTTTACAGCAGTGTAGTATTCCATTGTGTAGATGTACTACTGTTTTCTAATCCACTCATCTGCTGATGGGCATTTAGGCTGTTTACAAATCTTAGCTTTTGTAAATTGTGCTGCTATGATCATAGGGATGCATATATTCATTCTGATTGGTGCTTCTGTTTTCTTGGGATATATTCCTAGAAATGGTATTATATGGTCAAATTTTTCATTTTTGAGGGAGCAGCATACTGTTTTTCACAGTGGTTGTACCAGTCTGCATTCCCACCAGCAGTGAAAGAGGTTCTTTTTTCTCCACATCCTCTTCAGCACACAGGTTCCATTTGCTCAGATGGGGGAATATTTGAGGAAGAAAATCAAGAGATAGTTAGAGTGACCAGGGTGTAATGCATAAGACAAAGATTGATAAGAGAGGAGATCAGAGAGTTAAGCAGCAGCAGTAAGAAGTTTAGATGTTATTCTAAAGTAAATGGGAAAATACTGAGGTATTTTAAGGAAGGGAATGACACAATCTGATTTGTTTTTATAAATTCACTCTGGTTTCTATATTGAAAATGGATAAATTACAGGAGGCAATAGAGGCAGATAGATTATTTAGAAAATGATTACAATATTCTAAATGAGTAAAGAAAAGGGCCTGCACTAGAGAAGTAGCAGAGGGTATGGAAAGGACAAAACAGTTAGAAGAGATGTTGAGGTATTATAAACTTTTGGAAGGTACCATGGAAGGGGATTGTGGAAGTTTATCAAAATGACCACTATTCTGTTATACTCCTGCCATTGATAAGTAGATTGTATATCCCATCCCCTTAAATGTATGTGGGTTTGTGGCTGCTTTGACCTATAGAGTCTGACAGAAGTGACATGGTGTAACTACCAAGGCTGTCATAAAAAGCTAAATGACTCTATCTTATTCTCAGGAACACTTGCTTTTGGAGATCTGAGCCACCATGAAGGTGCCAAACTACCTTAAAACTGGCAACCCCCAACCCCCCCGAACATGCCTTACCCCACTAGTGTCTGTGTCCATTGATTCTGCTTTTTTGCAACCATACAAGTCTTTTGGTTGATCTCTTACCCGCTCCCCACTTCCCTTGCCTGCCCTCTGAGGTTTGACAGTCTGTTAGATGCTTCCCTGTCTCTGGATCTATTTAAGTTCATCATTTTATGTTGTTTATTATATTCCACAAATAAGTGAAATCATGTGACAGCTATCTTTCTCCTAATGGCTTATTTCACTTAGCATAATACTCTCCATGTCTATCCATGATGTTGCAAAAGAGTTCTTTCTTTTTTACAGCAGCATAGTATTCCATTGTGTAGATGTAGCACTGTTTATTAATCTACTCATCAGCTGATAGACACTTAAGGCTGTTTCCAAATCTTAGCTATTGTAAATTGTGTTGCTATGAACATAGGGGTACATATGTCCTCTCTGATTGGTGTTTCTGATTTCTTGGGATATATTCCTAGTAGTGGGATTACTGGGTCAAATGGGAGTTCCATTTTTAACTTTTTGAGGAAACTCCATACTGTTTTCCCCAGTGTCTGCACCAGTCTGCATTCTCACCAGCAGTGCATGAGGTTCCTTTATCTCCACAATCTCGCTAGCACTTGTCATTTGTTGATAGCCATTCTAACAGGTGTGAGATGGCATCTCATTGTCATTTTGATTTGCATCTCTTGGATGATTAGTGACTTTGAGAATATTTTCATATGTCTCTTGGCCTTCTGTATGTCCACATTGAAAAAGTGTCTATTTAAGTCCTTTGTCCATTTTTTTAAATTGGATTATTTATCTTCCTTTTGTATGATAAGATGTATGAGTTCCCTATAGATTTTGGAGGTTAGGTCCTTATCAAATATAGCATGGGCAAATATGTTTACCCATCAGTGGGCTTTCTTGTTGATTTGTTGATGGTTTTCTTTGCTGTGCAGAAACTCTTTATTTTCATGTAGTTCCATTTGTTTTATTTTCTCTTTAGTTTCCATTGCCCTAGGAGGTGTATTGGTAAAGATATTGCTACAATATATGTCTCCTATTTTGCTGCCTATGTCTCCTATTTTGCTTCTCAGATTTTATAGTTTCCCATCTTACGTTTAAGTCCTTTACCCATTTTGAGTTTATTTTTGTATATGGTGTAAGTTGGTGGTCTAGTTTCATTTTTCTGCATGTATCTGTCCAGGTTTTCCAATATCATTTATTGAAGAGACAGTCTTGACTCCATTCTATGCTTTTGCTGCCTTTGTCAAATAATAATTGAGCAAAATGACTTGGGTCTATTTCTGGGTTCTCTGTTCTGTTCCATTGGTCTATATGCCTGTTCTTGTGCCAGTACCAGACAGTTTTGAGAACAGTGGCTTTGTAGTATAGCTTCATATCTGGTATTGTGATCTCTCCAACATTGTTCTTTCTCAAGATTGCTGTGGCTATTTGGGGTCTTATGTTATTTCAGATTAATTTTTGGAGACTTTTTCTTGGTCTGTGATATATGCTGCTGGTATTTTAATGGGATAAAATTTAATCTATATTATAGATTGCTTTGGATAGTATGAACATTTTAATGATATTGATTCTACCAATCCATGAACATGCTATATTCTCCCATTTGTTTATGTCTTCCTCTCTCTTTTTTCTTTTCCTTTTTTTTAAATAAGGAAACATTTCCAAAGCCTTTATTTACAAAAGTTGTAAAAACAAATAATACATCTCTTTTGCAAATAATGTTTCATTTATAAAAGACCAGCCAGTTATAGCACTGTAATATCAAGAATAAAGAAATGTACAAGGAAAACAAACCAATGTGGCTAACATTTGGAAATTTGCTAATGTTGCTGATTAAAGTATAGATAAAATACACATTACATTGCAGTCCATTAAAAGTCTTCCTACACATGCCCTTGTCTAGTCACATATTCTCCATGGCTAAATATTTCACATACTCTTTTGGCCATATATACAAAATAGATCTCAAAGATATAAATGCACATCCTGGAAACAAATTACAATGAAAACACAACAATCCAAAATCTATGGAACACAGCAAAAGCAGTTTTGAGCGGGAAGTTTATTTCAAAAAACAAGACTATTTCAAAAAACAAGAAAAAATGGTAACAAATGATCTAACTCTACAACTCAAAGAATTAGAAAAAGAGCAACAAGAAAAACCCAGTGTAAGCAGAAGGAAGGAAATAACAAAAATCAGAGCACAGATAAACGACATAGAGACCAAAGAAACAATACGTAAGATCAACAAAACCAAGAGCTGGTTCTTTGAAAGAATAAACAAGATAGATGGACCCCTATCCAGGCTAACCAAGAAACAAAGAGAGAGGACCCAAATAAACAAAATCAGAAATGAAAGAGGTGAAATAACAACAGATCCCGCCGAAATACAAATAATTGTTACAAAATACTATGAACAGCTCTATTCCAATAAACTGAACAACCTGGAGGAAATGGACATATTCCTAGAAAAATACAACCTTCCAAAACTCAATCAGGAAGAATCTAAAAATCTAAATAGACCAGTGACTTGGGAAGAAATTGAAACAGTCATCAAAAAACTTCCAGCAAACAAAAGCCCAGGGCCAGATAGCTTCACAGGAGAGTTTTACCAAACATTCAAGGAAGAACTAAAACCTATCCTCCTCAGACTATTCCAAAAAAATTCAAGATGAAGGAACACTTCCAAACTCCTTCTATGAAGCCAGCATCACCCTAATACCAAAACCAGATAAAGACAGCTCAATGAAAGAGAATTACAGACCAATATCTCTTATGAACATAGATGCCAAAATCTTCAACAAAATTCTAGCAAATTGGCTCCAGCAGAGCATCACAAAGATCATACACCATGACCAAGTAGGATTTATTCCAGGAATACAAGGATGGTACAATATCCGCAAATCAATAAACGTGATACATCACATAAACAAATTGAAAGATAAAAATAGTCATATCAATTGATGCAGAAAAAGCATTTGATAAAATCCAACACCCTTTCCTGATAAAAACTCTCAACAAGGTAGGAGTACAAGGATCATACCTCAACATAATAAAAGCTATACATGATAAATCCACAGCCAACATTATACTCAATGGGCAAAAACTAAAACCATTCCAAGAACAGGAACAAGACAGGGATGCCCACTCTCTCCACTCCTGTTTGACATAGTATTGGAAGTACTAGCCATTGCAATTAGACAAGAGGAGAAAATAAAAGGCATCCAAATGGGAAAAGAAGAAGTAAAGTTATCCTTATTTGCAGATGACATGATATTGTACATAAAAAACCCAAAAGACTCCATTAAAAAACTAATTGGCTAGTAAATGAATTTGGCAATGTAGCAGGATACAAAATTATTGCCAAGAAATCCATGGCAGAGTCCTTGAGGCGTTGGTGCTGTGCCATGCGGGGGTTTTGTGGCGTGCCGGCTGAGTGCGCATGCGCCGACATGGCCTCAAACAACTATACCCAGCAAGCAACCCAAAGCTATGGGGCCTACCCCACCCAGCCTGGGCAGGGTTATTCCCAGCAGAGCAACCAGCCCTATGGACAGCAGAGTTACGGTGGCTACAGCCAGTCTGGGGACACTTCAGGCTATGGCCAGAGCACCTATGGTTCTTACGGGCAGACCCAAAACACAGGCTATGGCACCCAGTCAGCTCCCCAGGGATATGGCTCAACCGGTGGCTATGGTGGTGGCCAGAGTTCTCAGTCATCTTATGGGTAGCAGTCCTACCCTGGCTATGGCCAGCAGCCAGCTCCTAGCAGCACCTCGGGAAGTTACGGTAGCAGCTCTCAGAGCAGCAACTATGGACAGCCCCCGAGTGGGGCCTATGGTCAGCAGTCTGGCTATGGTGGAGAGCAGCTTAGCTATGGACAGCAGCAAAGCTCCTATAATCCTCCTCAGGGCTATGGACAGCAGAACCAGTACAACAATAGCAGTGGAGGTGGCGGAGGGGGTGGAGGAGATAACTATGGCCAAGATCAGTCCTCCATGAGTGGTGGCGGTTATGGCAATCAGGACCAAAGTGGTGGTGGTGGCGGAGGCTACGGGGGCGGCCAGCAGGACCGTGGGGACGAGGCCGGGACAGTGGCGGTGGTTACAACCGCAGCAGTGGTGGCTATGAACCCAGAGGTCATGGCGGCGGCCGTGGCGGCAGAGGCGGCATGGGCAGAAGTGATCGTGGTGGCTTCAATAAATTTGGTGGCCCTCAGGACCAAGGATCTCATCATGACTCTGAACAGGATAATTCAGACAACACTATCTTCGTGCAAGGCCTGGGTGAGAATGTTACAATTGAGTCTGTGGCTGATTATTTCAAGCAGATTGGTATTATTAAGACAAATAAGAAAACAGGACAACCCATGATTAATCTATACACAGACAGGGAAACAGGCAAGCTGAAGGGAGAGGCAACGGTATCATTTGATGACCCACCTTCTGCTAAAGCAGCTATTGACTGGTTTGATGGTAAAGCCCGGAGCAGCGGCTGCCAGGCTGGAAGCGGCCAGGCCCGGGGGAGCAGCCGGGTTGGGTGCTGCCAGGCCCGGAGCAGAGGCTGCCAGGCTGGGAGCGGCCAGGGCCGGGGGAACAGCTGGGTCAGGAGTGGCCAGGCCCGGAACAGCGGCTGCCAGGCTGGGAGCAGCCAGGCCCGGAGCAGGCGGGTCGGGTGCGGCCAGGCCTGGAGCAACTGGTTGGGTGCGGCCAGGCCTAGAGCAGCAGCTGCCAGGCTGGGAGCGGCCAGGCCCGGAGCAGCCGGGTCGGGTGCGGCCAGGCCCGGAGCAGCGGCTGCCAGGCTGGGAGCGGCCAGGCCCGGGGGAGCAGCCAGGCCTGGGGGAGCAGCCGGGTCGGGTACGTCCAGGCCCGGAGCAGCGGCTGCCAGGCTGGGAGCGGCCAGGCCCGAAGCAGCCGGGTCGGGTGCGGCCAGGCCCGGAGCAGCAGCTGCCAGGCTGGGAGTGGCCAGGCCCGAAGCAGCAGCAGCCAAGTCCAGAGCAACTAGGTCGGGAGCGGCAGTGACCAGACCCGGAGCAGCTTGTTGTGGAACGAACCAGAGCAACAGAGGCCAGGCCCTGAGCAGCCAGGTCTGGAACAGCTCGCTCCTCGCCTGCCCCTGCCCTATGGCTGCCTCTCAGACATGGCTGGAAACTTTCGCAGGAACTTGAGGGTCTGCTGAATCAAGTGATGAAGGCTTAGATCTGGATGTGTTGAGTTAGTATAGGGCTGGGGTGTTGATCTGTGAGTGCCTTGGGTGGGGCCTGGATGAGGCTAGTTGACCTATTGGGAAATGTCTTTTGTGTGAAGTGTATCATTGGGCCTGTGAAGGTATTATTGATATGAGAAAATGCTAAGTAACTGATTTACTATCTGAAAAGGGATTTACTATCGGGGAAAGGGAGGGAAGAAGAGACTGAACATAAACTGTGCACCTATGGATGAAGACAATGGGGGATGGGGAGGGGGCGGAGGGTGGGGTGGGAACCTGGTGGAGGGGGGAAGAAATGAGGAACCTTTGTAATAATATGAACAATAAAGATTGATTTAAAAAAAAGGATTCTCTGGGAATCATATCAAGGTTTCATTTGCTTCTCGGCGTGCAGATTTCAATCAAGGTGGTGGCAATGGTCTTGGAGGCCGAGGGCGAGGAGGACCCATGGGCCGTGGAGGCTCTGGAGGTGGTGGCAGTGGAGGCGGTGGCCGAGGCGGATTCCCAAGTGGAGGTGGTGGCGGTGGAGGACAGCAGTGAGCTGGGGACTGGAAGTGTCCTAATCCTACATGCGAGAACATGAACTTCTCTTGGAGGAATGAATGCAACCAGTGTAAGGCCCTAAACCAGATGGCCCAGGAGGGGGGCCAGGAGGCTCTCATATGGGGGGTAGCTATGGAGATGATTGTCATAGAGGCAGAGGTGGCTATGATCGGGCGGCTACTGAGGCCGAGGCGGGGACCTCGGGGGCTTCTGAGGGGGCTGGGGTGGTGGGGACAGAGGAGGCTTTGGCCCTGGCAAGATGGACTCCAGGGGTGACCACAGACAGGATCGAAGGGAGAGGCCATATTAGCCTGCCTCCTGCAGTCCTGAAACGGCTTTTCTTCTATATCCAGTGTGACCTTCGTTGTTTTGTAACTTTTCAACTCCTGACCCACCATGGGTTTTTGTCGGACTATGTTATTGTAACCATATATCTGGTTCCCATTAAAAACCATCATTTAAAAAAAAAAGAAAAGAAAAAAAATCCATGGCATTTCTATACACCAACAGTGAAACTATAGAAACAGAGACTAAAAAAGCAATTCCATTTACCATCGCACGAAAAAAATTAAGATACCTAGGAATAAATTTAACTAAGGAAGTAAAGGACCTATATGCAGAAAACTACACGACACTGAAAAAGAGATAGAGGAAGATGTAAGGAGATGGAAGAACATACCATGTTCATGGATTGGTAGAATCAACATCATCAAAATGTCCATACTTCCTAAAGCAATCTATAGGTTCAATGCACTCCCATTAAAATACAAACGGCATATTTCACTGACCTAGAAAGAACTCTCCAAAAGTTCATTTGGAACAATAAAAGACCCCGAATAGCCACAGCAATCCTGAAAAAGAAGAGTTATGTAGGAGGGATATCAATACCAGACTTCAAACTGTATTACAAAGCCACTATTCTCAAAACAGCCTGGTATTGGCACAAGAACAGACATATAGATCAATGGAATAGAATCGAGAACCCAGATATCAACCCAAATCACTATGCTCAATTAATATTTGACAAAGTAGGCATGAATATACAATGGAGTCAAGATAGTCTCTTCATTAAATGATGTTGGGAAAATTGGACAGATACATGCAAAAGAATGAAACTAGATCACCAACTTACACCATACACAAAAATAAACTCAAAATGGATACAGGACTTAAACATCATATGGGAAACCATAAAAATACTAGAAGCATCCACGGGCAGCAAAATCTCAGACATATGCCAAAAGAACTTCTTCACTGATACTACCCCTAGGGCAATGGAAGCTAAAGAGAAAATAAACAAATGGGACTACATTAAAATAAAAAAGCTTTTTTACAGCAAAAGAAACCATCAACAAAACAACAAGAAAGCCCACTGTGTGGGAGAACATATTTGCAAATGTTACCACTGATAAAGGTTTAATCTCCAACATCTACAAACAGCTTATACAACTAAATAAAAGGAAGATGAATGATCCAATTAAAAAATGGGCAATGGACCTAAATAGAATATTTTCAGACAGAATATTTCAGACAGAAGACAGAAGGAAGGCCAAAAGACATATGAAAACATGCTTAAAGTCACTAATTATCCGAGAGATGCAAATCAAAACAACAATGTGGTACCATCTCACACCTGTCAGAAGGGCCAACATCAACAAATAACAAGTGTTGGCTAGGTTGCGGAGAAAAAGGAACCCTCGTGCACTGCTGGTGGGAATGCAGACTGGTTTAACCACTGTGGAGAACAGTGTGGAGTTTCCTCAAAAAACTGAAAATGGAACTCCCTTTTGACCCAGTAATCCCACTCCTAGGAATATATCCCAAGAAACTAGAAGCACCAATCGGAAAGGATATATGCACCCCTATGTTCATAGCAGCACAATCTACAATAGCCAGAATTTGGAAACAGCCTAGGTGCCCTTCAGCAGATGATTGGATCAAAAAAACAATGGTACATTACACAATGGAATATTATGCTGCCATAAAAAAGAAGGAATTCTCATCATTTGCAGCAACCTGGATGGAATTGGAGACCATCATGCTGAGTGAAATAAGCCAATCAATGAAAGAGAAACATCACATGACCTCACTCATTTATGGATAATAAAGAACATTATAAACTGATGAACCAAAAGATAGATATAGAGACAATAAACCAACAAGCAGACTGTAAATTACAGCGGGGAGGAGGGGGAGATTAGGGGGAGATAATAGATCAACCGAAGGACTAAGTATAAGCATTAGGAACATGGACAAACAACTACCTAAACACTGCTTTGAACCTGAGAAGCTCTGGAACATTGTCTCTCAACTATGTTTTAGAGTTTAATGCTACATTTCAGTGAAGTCTAAGGCTTTCAAAGCTGCTTAATTGTGTTTATTTCTCTCTTTCAAGCCTTGTGTGACACACATTTAAAGTTCTAGGTTATTTTAAGTAAATTATAGAGGTTTCATACACTGTTTAATGTGCTCTTAAGTTAAAGATTTCATGGATCTTAGATTCCTTTTCACCACTAACACTGTTAAGAACCTGAGAAGCTCGGAAACATTGTCTCTCAACTATGTTATAGAGTTTAATGCTACATTGCAATGAAGTGTAAGGCTTCCCAAAGATGCCTAAATGTGTTCATTTCTCTTTTTCACGGATATTCTGCCTTGTATGACACAAATTTACAGTTCCAGGCTCCTTTAAGTAACTAATGTAGGATTCCTACACTGTTTAATGTGTTATTTACTATAATTAAGGATCTTAGATACCTTTTCTACAGTAAAAACTGACTTGGAGAATCAGTTTCACCTGTTCTTAATGAGTTCTCATCTATTTACTGTCATTTTCTCTGAATTACTCATGTTTTCATGTAGTTTCCTATATTAGGCCTTCTTGTCCATGTATAAGCATTCCTCACATGTACCAACAACTTCCTATACACTGTTATGAACAGGAGAAGCTCAGGAACATTGTCCCTCAACTACGTTATAG